TGTAACATTATAAATGTCTTTACTGTCACTTTTGATCAATTTAATGCATCCTCAATGAATAAAAGTATTCATTTATTTAAACAGTCTTACTGACACCAAACTTTTGGTTTGCAAGTATGAATGTATATATGTATATCTGTATAAATAAACAATTTAATTAATTAAAGTATTTTTTACATATTTATAATAAAATTATTCTTTTTTTTTTTTTTTTAAAGAGTAAAAAAAAAAAGCTTGCTAAAAAGCTCTGAAAATTAGCCTATTCAGACTGATTATTTAAGAAAATATTTGTAGACAGTTGCCTTATATTTTCTTGTGTGTGTATCTGTGTGTGAATATGCATGCATCCTCTTCTCTCTCTTGTACATCAGAGGTCTGGACTCTTTGAGTGGGAAGAACAAATCCCCCGGTCCGGTGTCCCTGCCATTGGACGGAGTGATCCTGTCCTTGCAGGATCTGATCCATTACTTCCGGCCTCCAGAGGAGGAGCTGGAACACGAGGAGAAACAGACCAAGCTGCGCTCTCTACGCAACCGACAGAACCTCTTCCAAGAAGAGGTGTGTGTGTGTGTTTGTGTTTGTGTCTGTCTGTCTGACAGTCAGCCCTGATGCCCTTTAATTAATGTCTCTTTTCTGTTGCAGGGGATGATCACCATCGTGCTGGAGTGTATCGACCGCCTGAATGTCTACAACACTGCTGCACACTTCTCTGAGTTTGCCGGAGAGGAAGCTGCTGAATCCTGGAAAGAGATTGTCAACCTGCTCTATGAACTGCTTGGTGACTGAATATAAATAGATATACATAAAATTTTTTTATGTTTTTGAAAGAAGTCTCTTATGCTTACCAAGGCTGAATTTATTTGATAAAAAATACAGTAAAAGTCTTATCTTGTGAAATATTACAATTTAAAAGTACTGTTTTCTATTTTAAAATGCAATTTATTCCTGCGCTACAGAGTCACATGATCCTTCAGGAAAAAAATGCTGATTTTGTGCTTAATTACTATCAATTATTATTAGTGCTCAGTTATTAATATTGGTTATGATTGCGTTTTAAGCCTAGTGAAAAATAAATATACTAAGATTTATTTGAAATACATTTATTTCATGCTAAATATACTACAAATACATTTACATGTTTATGTACTTAATAAAAATACCCTGCAATTGTACTTTTGGTATACTAAACTGGTATACTTAAAGTCTGCTAAATTGGAAAAACTAATTTTGTATTTAATGCACTTTAATTGTGAGGAAGCAGTGCTGAAGTCCAACTAAAGATATATTGAAGTATACTTCAGGTACACTTTAAATATCTTGCATTTAAAGATGATACTATTAAAAAATCATACAGTCCTCATCAATAGTGACATTAAAACACATGCATTGTGCATTGTGCACAAGTAGTAGAAGTTGAATTATAATTTTTATATCAGCAAGTCTCAAGCAATATGTCAGTAAATATGATAATATATTTGAACTAAACTTAGTTTGAAATAAATGTATTTTAAATATATTACTTTTTTACTAGGGAATATATGTTAAAATAGAAAATAATAATTTTAAATTGTAACAATATTTGTTTTTACTGTATTTTTGATTAACTAAATGCAGCCATGATGAGCATAAAATACTTATTGAATGACATCTAAAAAGCATACTTTATTAAAAATATATGTATTTTTTTTTGTTTCATCCATTCTTCATTTGATTTCTTTTTTTTATCAGATTGATGGATTCTGTTTGTGAATGTGTCTCTGTTTTCACAGCGTCGCTGATTAGAGGAAACCGTTCTAACTGTGCTCTGTTTTGCGATAACCTTGACTGGCTGGTTAGTAAACTGGATCGTCTGGAAGCTTCTTCAGGTATATATAAAACCTTCCTCGAGCACACGGTCAACAAATGCCACAAAATGACTAACAACCCGTCTTTAAACCTTGCCACATACTTCTTGCTCTCATACTTCTTTCTTATCTGTTGGTCTGCAGGCATCCTAGAGGTGCTGTATTGTGTTTTGATTGAAAGTCCTGAAGTCTTGAACATCATTCAGGAGAATCACATCAAGTCTATCATTTCTCTCTTGGACAAGCACGGTCGAAACCATAAGGTCTGACTGCAAACGTGATTTAGGTCAAATAACATTTATCATTTTGCTACACACTGAAGATCTCACTGTCCTCTGCCTTTGTCCGGACAGGTTTTAGATGTATTGCGTTCTCTGTGTGTGTGTAACGGTGTCGCTGTGAGGTCCAATCAAAACCTCATCACAGAAAATCTGCTTCCGGGCCGTGACCTCCTGCTGCAGACTAACATCGTTAACTATGTATCAAGGTAATATCTGTTGGTTTTCGTCCAATTAAAAATGCTGCATTGCACCTTGTTTTCTTTTACTGCAGCTTTTGTTCCTGAAGGTGCACTAAATCGAAGAAATTGAAAAGATTTCAAACTCTTTAACTACATAAATGTGACTTACTTCTTGTAGCGTGAGGCCCAATATCTTCTTGGGGACTTGTGAAGGCTCTACACAGTATAAGAAGTGGTACTATGAGGTGATGGTAGACTATGTGGAACCATTTGTGGCAGCTCAGGCTACCCATCTGCGTGTTGGCTGGGCTCTGACTGAGGGCTTCAGTCCATACCCAGGAGGAGGAGAGGGTTGGGGTGGCAATGGTGTGGGTGATGACCTATATTCTTATGGTTTTGATGGTCTTCATTTGTGGTCAGGTTAGTGTGGTGATCTTCTATATTCTATATGTGTGAGTGTTTGTGGTCCTTAAACCATATTTTTGCTCTTTGTAGGTCATGTGTCACGTCAGGTTGCTTCGCCCAACCAGCACATCCTGGCAGCAGATGATGTTGTGAGCTGCTGTCTGGATCTGAGTGTGCCCAGTATCTCCTTCCGTATCAATGGCCATCCAGTCCAGGGAATGTTTGAGAACTTTAACGTAGACGGCCTCTTCTTTCCCGTCATTAGCTTCTCTGCTGGAGTGAAGTAATTAACATTATTGTTTTGTATTACATAACCTTTTCTTAAAAGGAAAGTTCATCCAAAAATGAAAATTGCCCCATGATTTCCTCACCCTCAAGGCATCCTATGTGTATATGACTTTCTTCTTTCAGACGAATCCATATTAAAAAATGTCCTTGCTCTTCCAAGCTTTATAATAGCAGTGAATGGGTGTTATTTTTCAATAGTACAAAAGAAGTCCAATAAAGCGCACCCATCCATCATAAAAAGTGTCCCACATGGCTCCGGGGGGTTAATAAAGGCCTCCTAAAGCAAACTGATGCATTTTTGTAAGAAAATATCTATACTTAAAATGTTGTGAACAGTAATCTCTAGCTTCCGATTTTGCACATTAATTATTTATATATATATATTTTTTTAAAGAAATTAATACTTTTTAGCAGGGGTATATTAAATTGATCAAAAGTAAACGTTAAAATCATTTATAATGCTTCAAAATACTTGTTTACTCTGTATGCTATTCTTTTGAACTTTACCAAATGATCCTGTATTAAAAAATGTCCTTGCTCTTCCAAGCTTTATAATAGCAGTGAATGGGTGTTATTTTTCAATAGTACAAAAGAAGTCCAATAAAGCGCACCCATCCATCATAAAAAGTGT